GTCTTTGTAATGACCGTTTGCACTCTTCCTGGAAGGGGCATTAATGCCTTTGAGCTGTGGTGCTGGAGAAGAGTATTGAATATACCATGGATTGCAAAGAGAACAAACAGGTTTGTCCTGGAGAAGGTGAAACCAAGCTGCTCCTTGGAGTCAAGGATTCTGAAGCTTTGTCTGACATACTCTGGACAGTTTGCCAAGAGGAATCAGTACTAGGAGAGGGATGTCATTCTTGGGAGGATGGAGGGACAGTAGGAGAAGAAGACCCTTGATGGGATGGATTGATTCAGTCACTGGGGTAATGGGGATGGGTGTGTCAGAGACAATAAGATTGGTAAGGGATAGAGCAGGATTTATGGCTGTTGTACATAGGCTTGCTGTGAGTCGCAGGTGACTCAACCACACATAACAGCAACAACCACCACCTGATTTATAGTGAATATGGCAGAAAAATCACATACCCGCAACTGAGTGTGGAAGAAAAGAGTGTGGGCATAGTTCCTTTTCAGGGTACTTGATGGTGCAAATAATAATGCACTCAGCTCTTGACCAAAGGGAAGTGATTCAAAGCCACTCAGAAGCACCTGAGGAAAAAAAGAAACAAATATTGGTGAGCTGCTCCCTCTGAAAGAAAGGTCACAGCCGTGAAAGAGTATATGAATAGTATCCTCCACACTGCAAAGGGCTGTGGTGCTGGATCAAAATCAGCTGGACAGCAGCTTCTTTGGTGTTGATGATGATGATGATGATATTTGTTCTTACTTTATGGTTTTATGAGAAGCCACATCTCTCTGTTCTACAGGGGAAGGAAAACATGCCTTTAACAAACATGCTTAAAACAAGTGTCAATTAGAAAGTCACTTTATGCCAGTCTAACCATTTAATTTTGGGTGTATTTTTCTTGTATAGAGTATCTGCCTTGTTTGTTTGGATTTGAAAGTAATTGTCATGCCTCATGTACAGAATTAGGCTAATCATTTTTGAAAAGAGGTGCTTTCTTCTTTGCAATGAAAATGCTTCCCATGTGATGACATCTTTTACTTTCCAATTTCAGACTTTGTTGATGGAAGTATACACCACAAGGCCTTACTGATATCAGTGACTGTCTGTAGTTTTCTCTTGGTCTTTATCATCTTGTTCTGTTACTTCAGGTAAGTTTCTAATATGTAGATGTAGATTTTTGAGTCTATGATACTTTCCATGTACTTCTGTATATATTCCATATGCTTTTTGCCTGATAAAAGTTTTTCCATCATAGCCTATGTTTAGCTTAATTAAATCTTGCATATACCCATAAACAATCTTAGTGTTGATTTCTGTCATGGAAATTAAAACCACTCCAAGAAATTTCATCCTTAATGTAGTCCAGGGTTATGACTGCTGATGTCAAATGGATCTTGGCTGAAAGTAGAGAGTACCAGAAGGATGTCTATTTGTGCTTTATTGACTGTGCAAAAGCAATTGACTGTGTGGATCACAACAAACTGTGGCTAATATTGGGAAGTGTGGGAATCCCAGAATATTAGATTATGCTCCTGTGAAACCCAGACTTAGACCAGGAGCAATCATCAGAACAGAAAAGGAAATACTATATGGTTCAAAATCAAGAAGAGAGTACATCAGGATGTGTCCTCTCTATATACTTTTTCAATTTGTTTACATAATAGATCATTTGAAAAGCTGGATTTTATGAAGAGGAATGTGGTATCAGGATTGGAAGAAGACTCATCATCAACCTGCGTTATACTGATGGCACAATCATGCTCGCTGAAACTGAGGAGGACCTGAAGTGTTTGCTGCAGTCTTCAGTATGGATTGCAGCTTAACATCAAGAAAACAAAGATTCTCACTACTGGGCCAATTGGCATCATCATGATAGAGGGAAAAGAGATTATTAACAATTTCATTTTGCTCAGATCCACAGTCAGCACTCTTGGTACCAGCAGTCAGTAAATCAAAAGACAAATTGGATTAGTAAATCTGTTGTCAGGAGCCTCTCTAGAGTTCTGAAGAGCCGTTATGTCAGTCTGTGTCAGAGACCAAGGTGCACCTGATCCAAGCTATGGTCTTCATAATTATTTACTATCAAATAAAAGTGTCCAACATCGGAGAACTGGGCAATGATTAACAATGACAGCAAAAGACCCAATGCCTTTGAGTTATGGTGCTAACGAAGAATATTGAACATGGACTGTCAAGAAAACAAAACAGGTCTCTCCTGGAGAACATTAAAGCAAGTTGCTCCTTGGAGGCAATGATTTTGAGTTTCTGTCTCACAAACTTTGGGCATGTTGCCAGGACAAACCAGTCCTTGGAGAAGAATGTCATGCTTGGAAGGGTGGAGGGTTGGCACAGGAGAAGACCCTGAGTTGAATTGACCCAGTGATTGGGGGGTAATCAGGCCAGGTGTGTCAGAAATGATAAGACTGGCTCAGGATAGGGCAGGGCTTAGAGCAATTGTGCATAAGGTTGCATTGAGTAATAGTTGACTCTGTGGCACATAACAGCAGCAACAGAGGATGCAGGGATTGGATGATATTGAGGTTTGATTTCCAGCAGAGTAATAGCTACATTGAACAGAACTCTAGTAATTATTTCCTACATAAAAAAGTCCCCTTTAGTTAGGGAATGATTGTAAAGGTAATTTGTAGATAAATTATTTTTTGAAAATCAGTTCAGTTATACATTATAATTGTTAAGCATATTAGTTAAGAATTATTTTTGTCACCTAAGAACTTATTTTCTAGTGTGTAGAATATTGAGGACCTTTTGAATTCACATTCTTTGCCTTTTGAACAACTTAGCACTTTTTTCTTTCTGATACTACTCTTCAGATAGATTTATTCAAATTAAGTTAATTTCTAATGGAAGATATTGCAGTGATTGAAAGGAAGCTTGTAAAGCTTTAATTTATGAATTGTTACTTTATAATTGTAACTTATAGGAGAAAGTTAATGTCAATGCCCTTTGTGTTTATATTATTAATGGGTTATGTACATTGAAGAAAAAAGTTTAGTTTCTAGTGGGATTGTGGGGAAAATACTGATGAAATATAATTCTCTTAGATATATGCAATTTAAAAGAATAGGAAAGACAAACTGGGTGGTTGAGAATGAAGAAAAACATGTAGTTTAGATTTTGAGAAGATAGCTACATCATTTTAATTTATTTAGGAAATCGTAACTTAATACATGTAGCCATTTGATCTTGTAGTGCATTCTGTGCTAAAATGCAATCTGTTGTGATTACTACTCCATCTGTATTACTGTACCTTGCCCTTACTTTCTACTGGCTAAAAGAATTTCTTTTTTCAATCTTTAGGTATAAAAGACAAGAAGCCAGACCTCGGTACAGCATTGGTTTAGAACAGGACGAGACTTACATTCCTCCAGGAGAATCTTTGCGAGACTTGATTGAACAGTCTCAAAGCTCAGGAAGTGGATCAGGCCTCCCTCTGCTGGTATGAGATGAGCATATCTTGAATAGAAAAGAAATAGCCTGTGAAAGGCAGTAAGAGACAGGCCAGTGGACAGGGGAGAAGCTGCCAGACAGTTGGACATTAGATCTCAGATGCAGGCTTCATGATAACATTCTGACATATGAGGATAAAGTGATTATTTGCTACTTACCATAAATATATGCTTATAACTCAAACCCACAGGTTTTCTGATAGTGAACAGAGTAAAAAGCATTAAAAAAATGGAAACACTGACCTGTTGGGTTTGTTTTTGGGTGAGGTTTTTTTTAATAAGAACAGCATTATTACACCCTGCCTTGGCTTTTGAAGTTAAAAGTATTGAAACAAAGTGGGATCTGAATTCTACAAAGGAGAAAGGCTGAGTTTTAGCAGCCAGGTTTATGTTTTAGGGTGAAGTCGCTTTTCCATTCTGGAGCAGTTTCATTTTCTGATGCTCAAAACTGATTTGGAGGAAATAAAATGTATGACTAATCCAGGATATTTGCTTTCATTAGAAATCTGTCTGGTAACCTTATAGACCATACCAAAAGAGGAAATTGTCAGAATTTAGGATAGAAGCAGCATTTTTAGTGTGAAATAAAAATTTTTCTTAATAAACACTCAAGATTGATTTTTCTAATCCTTAAAGCCTGATTCTGACTTTGGATAGGTTTTATACTAGATTTCTTTGCTTACATATTAGTTTGTCCTAAAAATAACACTTTTAAGATGAGGAAGGAAACTGTATGTGAACGAGTCAGTGTGACCAGACTGATGCTACTTAAATATTTTGGGTTTGGTTCTTCTGTATATTTTAGGATTGTTGTTATTTTGTGCCATCAAGTTAGCACCAGCTCGTAGCTGACCCTCCATTGACTTTTCAGAGGCGGTTAATCCAGGATTGCCCATTCTCCCATGGAGCCTCTGGTGGATTCAAACTGTACGCCTTTGAGATGGCTGCACAGCATCTTACCACCAGTTCCTACTATAAAATTAATTTGTAGTAAATAGAAGTATTATATTTTTTAAATCCCTATGGTAGTGTAAAACAGTTTTTTTAAATAAAACTGTGAATTGTAAGTCTTCCTTTGATGTTAATGAATCTGATAATCATGTTCTTAGAATTGAAGCAATTTCATTCTTAACTGGATTTTTTCCATTTCCAGCCCAACTTTCTCATTTCTACAGTTACGTTTCTAGAATCTTTTATGCTGTTATGTTATTTCTGTAGATGAAATCTTTCTAATACTCACTAGTACTATTGTTGTTCAGGGTACTTAAGTCATCTCTCACTCATAGTGACATGGTGAACAAGAGATTGAAACTCTGTCCAGCCTTGACTTCTCCCTGCTGTGTGCATGGTGTGCAAAGCTACAATGCCAGCTCAGCCTCTCCTCTCACCTCTCTGGGACTTGCTTCCTGAGCTCTAGGATCACCTTGAAGTAATTGTTTCTTAGATCCAACTATTTTTTAAAAAACTCATGCCTTTGCAAGTGCAGTTTCTTTATGGGCAGTTCTGTTGATGCGTTCCAGAAGGTCTAGTTCACATTTTACTTCTGTACAAACTTCACAGCTTAGACTGACCTAGGCTATTTATCAGCTCTCATTATATTCCCCCCCTAACAATTTCCCCATATATAATTTAGTGATGTTACTACATTTTTCAAATTATACGACCATTCTCAACATCCTTCTCCAAATTATTCAACCATCATTCACAAAAACCCAGTTCACCAGAAGCAAAACTTCCTTCTCTCTCTTTTGGTGTCATTTAATAACTTTTAGGTTCGTAATATGTTCTTATCTTGTATAAGTGCAATCCTATGGCATTTGTCCTTTTGCAACTGACTCATTTTGCTCAGCATAGTGTTTTCTATGTTGCGGCAGGCATTTAGTATTCTCTATGGTGAAGTAAAATATTTCGTTGTACATATGCATTGAAGTGTGTTTATTATTCATCTATTGATAGAACTTCCCCCCCCCCATCTTTCTGGTTGTTGTAGATAGTCCTACAAAGAACTAGCATAAATGCAGAGAATTAAAATGGCTAGGACATAATATGTTGTTTATATTATGAGCCCTCAAGTTGGAACCAACTCATAACAGCTTTTCTGCGGCTGTAAATTTGAAGGGGGGAAATTCTCATCTTTCTCCTATGTAACAAATAGTGCATGTTAACCATATGCCTTTGGCTTCAGCGCCTATCTCCTTACCACTTGGCCACCAAAGCTCTCCTCAGGAGATAAGATTGTTGTTGTTGCTCTGTGCCTTTGAGTTGAAGCAAACTCATACCTAACCCTCCGGGAGATTTTCAGAAGCTGTATATGGCATGGGAACAGATGCTCATGTTTCTCCTGAACAGCCATTAGTGGATTTGAACTGCCTGCCTTTGAGTTGGCAGTGCAGCTCTTTACCACTAGGCCACCAGTGCCTACCCAACTGTTTTCCATGCTGTATATACATACCATTTTACATTCCCACTAGAAATAGATGAGGGTCACTGTTTGACGGCCTTGTGAACACTTATTGTTTCCTCCTTCTCACCTAATTTTTTTTAAAGACTTCCTAACGGAGGTGCGATGGAGATTCATTGGGGCTTTGCTTTGTATCTCCCTACATGAAATGCTAATTAATGAGTATTTCATGAAAAATGTAATTGTTTGACATTTGAATTTTTTATTAAGGAAATGTATGTTAAGGTCCTATGCATATTTTACTGCTATAATTCATAGTGTTTTGTTGTTACAACTAAAATTAACAGTTTAAAATAATTGTGCATTGGATCAGAATCAACTTGATGTCTTGTGTGAGGTTTTTTTTTTAATGTAGCTTTTATTTTATACTGGTTTAGTTATAAAGTTCGTATATATTGTTTTTCACACTGGATCTTTCCCATTTCCTTAACTCATCCCTCCCTTTATCCATCAAATTGTGCAACCCTATGATTACCTCTCCCCCAACCCACCCATCCTCACCCTGTGATCCCTCCTCCCCCCCTTTAAAGCCTCATACATATTTTAATAGTTATCTGTTTCTACAATAATGGTCTTATAAAATATTTATCCTTATGGGACTGAGTTAGTTCACACATAATATTCTCCAATCCTTCCCAAGTTAGGTAGTGATTTACAAAATCATTGCTCCTGCATGCTGCATAGTATTCCATTGTGTGAATGTACCATAATTTCGCAATCAGTTCTCTTGTGGTTGGACATGGGCTACTTACATGTTCTTGCCATGAAAATTGGTGTACAAGTGTCCATTTGTACCTCAGTTATCATTTTCTCAGGGTATATTCCAAGCAGTGGAATAACTGGGTCATACGGAATTTCTATGTTCAGCTTTCTGAGGAAACGTCTAGTGGCCTTCCAGAGTCGTTGTACCATTTTAAAATCCCATTAACAGTGTATAAGAGTGCCTATCTCACCACATCCTCTCCAACATTAATTACTTATTGTCCTATTAAACTTTGCCACTGCTACTGGAGTGAGATAGTATCTCATTGTGGTTTTGACTTGTATCTCTCTTATTGCTAATGCTTTTGAGCATTTCTTCCTGTGTCTGTTGGCCATTTCTCCCTGTGTCTGAATATCTTCCTCTGTGAAAATTCTTTCCATGTCTTTTGCCCATTTTGTAATTTATTATCATTCTTTTCCTTGTACAGATTCTGTAGGATTCTGTAAACTTTTGATATGAGACCCCTCTCTGAAATAGGATTTCCAGATGTTTTTTTCACCAATCCATAGGTTTTCTTTTCACTTTGTTGGAAAAGTTTTTTATGTGCCCAGGGATTTAATCCTTAGAAGGTCCCATCCACCATATTTGTCCTCTCCAGACTGTGCATTTCTAGCTGTATTTGGTGGTCTCTCTATATCATAGACTAGGTTGTCTAAGCTTGATCCCAGTATGTCTCTGATGAACTTTATGGTTTTGGTCTTTAGGCCCAGGTCCCTGATCCACTTTGAGGTTTTTTTTGTTTGTTTGATTTTTTATTTTCTCATCACTTTTGTCGCCTTTATATACATCTTGATTTGGGAATGAGTTTCTTTATCTAATTTTTTTACTGAGAATGGCTTGTATTTTTCTTCTTTACAATGATTAACTTGAATCCAATAATATAAATGCACTTCAGATGCTATCTGGAGAACAACCACTTGGCCAACTGACTGGAAGAGATCTATATTTGTTCCCGTCCCAAAGAAGGGTGAGCCAACAGAGTGTGGAAACTATAGAACAATATCATTAATTTCACATGCAAGAAAGATTCTACTGAAGATTATCCAAAAATGACTGAAACAGTACATCAGCAGAGAATTTCCGGAAGTCCAGGCTGGATTTAGAAGGGGTCATGGTACTAGGGATATTGTAGCTGATGTTAGATGGATCTTAGCTAAAAGCAGGGAATACCAGAAGAATGTCTATCTGTGTTTCATTGATTATGCAAAGGCGTTTGACTGTGTGGATCATAACAAACTGTGGCTGACTCTGAGAAGAATGGGAATCCCAGAACATTTAATTGTGCTAATACGAAACCTATACTTGGACCAAGAGGCAGTAGTAAAAACAGAGCAGGGCAACACTGCATGGTTCAAAATTGGGAAGGGTGTATGCCAGGGATGTGTCCTGTCTCCATACCTTTTCAACATGTATGCAGAGCAGATTATCCGAGAGGCTGGGCTCTATGAGGAGAAGTGTGGCGTCAGGATTGGTGGAAGTTCTATTAACAATCTGCATTATGCAGATGATACAACCCTGCTTGCTGACTGAGGAGCACCTCATGCACTTGCTGCAGAAGGTCAAGGACTGCAGCCTTCAGTATGGACTGAGGCTCAATGTCAAGAAGACAAAGATTCTTACCACTGGAACAATTGGTAGCATCAGGATGGATGTTGAAGAGATTGAGATTGTTCACAGCTTCAGTTTGCTTGGCTCCATGGTCAACACTCTTGGTACCAGCAGTCAGGAAATCAAAAACCGTATTGCGATGGGAAAGTCTGCTGTTA